ACTACTACAACAAGGTGAGCGTGCTATGCTACCGCTACGACAAGGTGAGGGCGCTGCGCTACTACTACAACAAGGTGAGCGTGCTATGCTACCGCTACGACAAGGTGAGGGCGCTGCGCTACTACTACAACAAGGTGAGCGTGCTATGCTACCGCTACGACAAGATGAGCGCGCTGCGCTACTACTACGACGAGGTGAGGGCACTATGCTACTGCTACGACAAGGTGAGCGCGCTATGCTACTGCTACGACAAGCTGAGCGTGCTGCGCTACTACTATGACAAGGTGAGCGCGCTATGCTACTGCTACGACAAGCTGAGCGTGCTGCGCTACTACTATGACAAGGTGAAGGCGCTATGCTACCGCTACGACTATGACAAGGTGAAGGCGCTATGCTACCGCTACGACTATGACAAGGTGAGTGCGCTATGCTACCGCTACGACTATAACAAGTTGAACGCGCTACGCTACCGCTACGACAAGCTGAGTGCGCTACGCTACCGCTTAGGCTGGTGGGGGAATGTACTGCTGTTCAGTTCCTGCAGGTCCAAGTAACTCAGAACCAGAACCTGGTTACTGATGTCGCTGTGGTCTTCTTCCAGAACATCATCAAGAAGGTCAGCGGTCAGAAGTTCGTCTATAAGTTTGTGAGCCAGCCCGACCCGGCGCTGGCAGACGGGCCTCGCGGTGTCGAGGACGTCCCGAAGAAAGACTCCTGCGACCCAATCGGCCAGCTGAAAGGCCAAGGGGGCCTGGCGTCAGTCTTCCAGTCAAAGGGCTCGGCCCAGGTACGGCGTCTTGTTTGTTATCATGAAACCTGGTTGTGGCCGGTTGTCATGACGATGTGTCGCCCGCAGCGCCCGGCGCCCGGCGGCGCCCAGAAGAGCTCCAGGAACGACTACATGAAGTCTGGCCTCTACTCCACCTTCACCATCCAATCCCTGCAGGCCCCGCCCAACCCCCGCCCAATCAAATCGGAGCTCCTGCTGCAGCCGGACCCCGCCCCCAAGGCCAGAGAGGTGAGGCCTCTTCATCACTCCTCTTCCTCAGCCAGAGGGGCGATGGTCTTCATCGTGTCTTCCTCCCAGGTGAGCCTGCTGCCAGAAGGCCGGCCCTCCCCTCCAGCTGGTGGCGCTGTGGACTCGCTGCAACTCGCCGCCCAGGCCTCGCCCCGCCCCGCGCCGGCGCTCAGCCCGCAGGCCGCCGCCAGCTGCCAATCACAGGTCAGAACCGTCTGCCTTTGCACCTTTAGTTCTGACCCGGTTCTGACCGACCCGCTCCCCCTCTGTCCTCCGCAGAACCTCCCCACCCCCCCTGTCAGCGACCCTCCCCATATCTACCTCACCAGCGTGGGCGACTCGCGCCCTTTTGCCCCCCTGCTCCCCCTGGCTCCCTGCGGGGGCCGAGGGCCAGGCTCCACCCCCGACGGGCCGCCGGGCCCCCTGCTGGATGACGCCCCGCCCCACCCTGTCTTCGTCATCATCAACCCGTCACCCCCGCCCCAGGCCCCGCCCCCTCCCGTCGTCATCAAGGAGGAGAACCTGCCGTCGGAGGAGGAGCTGCTGGAGATGGTGACCCTGCAGAGGAAGCAGGCGGACCAGGTGAGGGCCAGCGCCTCCGGAACCAGAAGGCCCGGTTCTGGTTCCGATGGACGCAGGCTGTGACCAGCTCTCCTCTGACCCGTCCAGGTTCCCCAGCTCATCTGTGGCCCAGCAGAACCAGAACTGCCTGTCACCATCGTGGAGAGCCCTCCTCCTCCTGAGCTGGACGCCCAGCAGGAAGTGGAAGAGGGTAGGGCCAAGGACTCTCCAGCAGGTAACTTCCTGGTTCTCCATGTCAGACCAGAACCTGGTCCAGCTGCCGGTTCCGTTGCTTCTTCTCTGGACTTATCTTCGTTTTCCCGTCAGAGCCCTCCGTTGCCACGGTAACGTGCTCCTCCTCATCTTCGGCATCGACCTCGCCGTCCGGCGCCGGGCCGCCCAAACCCAAGAAGCCTCGCATCCTGGAGCTGCCATCCTCGCCCTCCCTGCCGCCCGGCCTCTCCCTGGATAAGGTTCTGATGATCCGGGTCGCGTGACCCGCCGGTCCATCTGTCACAGTTCTGACATCACTTCCTGTCCCCCTGCAGGTCAACGCCGCTGTCAACAGTCTGTTGGCGCCGGGCGCTGCCAACACGCTGACACCGACTGTCATCACCTCCCACGCCCTGGTAAGCTGGACCAGAACTGGGTCTCATGGTTCTGATCAGATCCTCAGTGACTCATTATTTTCTCCATGAGGAATAAATGAATGTTAGCCAATATGCTACGTACTGCATGCTAGCTAAGCTCGGCGTTCTAGCTAACTGTCTGGTTGTTTAAAGCAGTTTAGACTTCGATACCCAAATGGACCTGGTTTTTCTTCAGAACCTCCACCAGAAGCTCAGAAGGTTTTCCTGTTTACTCTGACATCAGAGTCTGCATTAAATCCCTGAGTGAGGAGATCACCATGGCAACAGATGTCCTGCCGTGCCTCACTCTATGGTTTAATGTTTCTGAACAGGAAGTGACTTGGAGGACTTGTTACCTTGGAGACCAAGCAACTTCTGTAGATGACTGATTTTCCCACCTGACTGTAAACAGTCTGCTGTCTCCAAACGGTTCTGAAAAGTTCTGGAAGGTTCTGTGTTCATGTTTTCCAGACTCCGGTGCTGCTGACGCCCAGCGCTCTTCCTTCCACCATCCACTTCTGGAGCACGCTCAGTCCCATCGCCCCACGCTCACCGGCCAAGCTGTCCTTCCAGGTAATAGACAGAGCCCACAGCAACATGACCGTCTAACCCAGTGTTTCTCAACCTTTTTCGGGCCAGCGCCCCCCCAGCCTTTATCCAGGTCCCTCACCGCCCCACCAAAGAAATTTGTAGGCTATTTTGCACTGAGCATTATTTTATCATTAATATTACTATCACTATTGTAGATGTTTTGATTTTTATGCTTGTTTCTGTATTTATCATCAAAAATA